CCGAGCCCGCCGAGCGGGTCCTCACCGCGCTCCGCTGCGCTTTCCCGGGAGAAGAAAGGGCTTTATCTCCTCCCGCAGACGGTTGGCCTCGGAGTTTCTCGGGGCGGCGAGGAGAACCGAAGGGGTCCCCAGCTTTGGTGGAGGGCTAAGGCTGGCCCACGCGCGCGCTTGTCCGCCTTCCTTCGCCCTCCCGCCCCCCCCCGCCCCCAAACTGGGCCAAAGCTTCGGGCGCAAGTTGACCTGGAACTGTCGCCGTCGGTCGCCTCTGCGCTTTCGGGGCGCCCCCGGCTCCCCACTCCCGGGCCTTTCCCTTCCGCCGGCCCGGCATGGACACGAGCCCACGAGGCGTCTCGGCCTCAGCCGCCGCTTTGCCGTCGCTGCGGCCACCGCTGTCGCCGCCGAGGGCCGGGCCCAGGCGGCGTTAGGAAAGTGAGGGGCCAAGTGTGCGGGGGGGCGATCCGAGGAGTATCGGGGACGGAACCGGCGCCCGGACCCCAGACAGGGCCCTTCTGGTGGCGCTCACGGACGCATCTGGTGTCTTCAGACCTTCCTCCAGAGGTCGGGGTCCGAAGCGCGCCCGGAGCGAGCCGAGCCGAGCACTGACTCTTGTTCTTCGCCCTCCCCTCCCCTCCACACCCTTCCCCGCCCGGACCACACCCCACCCACCCCCTCCGCCACCCTCGTCCCCTCCCTCCCATCCCCCACCCGTCTGCCAGGTCGGAGGAGGGTTTAAAGCCAGGTGCGCCGAGTCCGCTCGCCATGTCCAGATCCGGGGACAGGACCTCCACCTTCGACCCCAGCCACAGCGACAACCTGCTGCACGGCCTCAACCTGCTGTGGAGGAAGCAGCTGTTTTGCGACGTGACCCTGACGGCCCAGGGCCAGCAGTTCCACTGCCACAAGGCCGTGCTGGCCTCCTGCTCGCAGTACTTCCGATCGCTCTTCTCCAGCCACCCCCCTCTCGGGGGAGGGGTCGGCGGCCAGGACGGCCTGGGGGCCCCCAAGGACCCGCCGCAGCCGCCGCAGCCGCAGCCGCCGTCACAGCAGCCGCAGCCGCCGCCGCAGGAGGAGCCCGGGACTCCCTCCTCCTCCCCCGACGACAAGCTGCTGACCAGCCCCCGGGCCATCAACAACCTGGTGCTGCAGGGCTGCTCGTCCATCGGGCTGCGCCTGGTGCTCGAGTACCTCTACACGGCCAACGTGACCCTGTCCCTG